AATTTTCTAAGTAGTGTAATAGGAAAAGAGAGTAGATGGAAGACAAATCTAATCCTATAGATTTCCATTCCAATGTAGTGAAAAATTTTATATACTTTCAGGACTTGGATGTTGAGGTACTTTAAGTTAGAGGATACTGAAATCATTCATTCATTAATTTAGTCAGCAAATGTTCACTGAGAACCTTTTAGGGAATAGGTGCTGAAAATGCTGGAGATACAACAGTAAATAACAAGGCTCCTCCTCCATGTAGCTGGACAACAAACACAGGAAAGGACAAATCATCTATAGATAAGAGTATGAAGGAGACAAATTGGACTCTGTAATAGAAAAAAATTAGGGGAGGAAGGCTACTTTAGATTTGGCGGTGAAGAAAAACCTCTCTGAAAATACAAGAACTGAGACCACGTGAACAACCAATAGAAGAAACTTCCCGGTAGAAGAGGCAATGAATTCCAAGGACCTCAGTCTGTAAAGAGCTTGATGTGGTGTGGGACAGAAAAGAGGCCTCTATGTTTAGAGCACCGTTAGTGCCAGCAGTTAGCGGTAGGGATGAGGTGGGAAGTGCTGGCAGGAATCAGATCCTATAAGGCCATGATAAGGAGTCTGGGTTTAATTTTCATTGTGACTTACATTTAAAAAATATTATTATGACTATGATGTAGAAAAACAATTTTAGGGTTGCCTGGGTGGCTCAGTCAGTTGAGCATCCCACTCTTGTTTTGGCTCAGGTCATGATCTCAGGGTCCTGGAATCAAGTCCTACGTTATAGGGCTCCCACCTCAGCGGGGAGTCTGCTGCTCTTTCCCTCTCACTCTGCCCTTCCCGCCACTTGCGCTTTCTCTCTCTCTCTCCAATAAATAAATAAATCTTAAAAAAACTCACAACTTTAGGAAGGTGAGAGTTAAAAGATAGAAACAACTTAGAAGGCAGTATAAGAGGCAAAGTGGCAGACAATGATAACCCAGCCTAGGGTAATGACTTGCAGATGGAAAGGGATAGACAGGTGTGTGGTTTTAGAAGGCGGTCAGGATAACATACTGATACACTGGATGTGAATAGTCAGGCAAGAATGGGAAGCAAAGATGGCTTCTAGGATTTTGGATTGAACCAATGAATGGATAAAGGTGCCATTTACTGAGATGGGGAATTCTGCCAGAGGAAAAAATGAGTGTACCAGGAATTCATTTTTTAACAAGATAAATTTTGAGGTGTCTATTAGGCTCTAAGATGAAAACAGTAGAAGGAAATTGAATATGTATTTTGAGGGGTATAAATGGATCAAGATAAATGAAGATGACCCAGGGAAGAGTGTAGACCAAGAGAAGAAGGCCCAGAATAAGTACTGCATTGGTGATGTTCCAGGAAGGAAACAAAAATCATGATAATTAGGATTACAGTTGACTCTTGAACAATTCAGGGGTTAGAGGTGTCCATCCCTGTGTAGTTGAAAATCCACTTTTAACTTCTGACTCCCCATAAACTTAACTACAAATAGCCTACTGTTGACCAGAAGCCTTATTGATAAGACAATCAATCAACACATATTTTGTATGTTATACATATTATATACTATATTCTTACAGCCAAGTAAGCTAGAGAACAGAAAATATTATTACGAAATGATAAGGAAGGAAGAATATATATACAGTAATGTACTGTATTTATCAAAAAAAATCTGCTTGTAAGTGTATTCATGTTCAAATGAGTGGTGTTCGAGGGCTAGCTGTATAGGGAACTGGTTATGCAGAAGCTGGAAGGCTGAAAGAGCAAAAGGAAGATGCTGAGGTGCCTCGAAACTAATGACCATAGGAAGCAGCTATTACCCTCAAGCTTGGAGGCCTTAGGGAAGAGGCACTTAACCAGAACCTTTGAGCTAGGAGGAGGGACCCTACAGATCTAGTGGTTGGGCTTCTGGGAGAAAACTCCACTCAGCAGGTGCTTGAACCCTGGAGGAGGCGCAGAGCCCAGTGGGCTCTCCCAGGGCACAGGAGGAGTAGCACAGTTGGTAAGGAGATCCCGTGTGCCCCCTACAAGGACTGCCAAGGGTCTCAGCTTGGCTGCTACTAGGCAGCTTGGTGAGAAAGGAACTCTGAGTGCTGGAAGAAGGTGGAAGTTGTAGCCAATTATTATTGTGGGCTATCATTGAAGATTGCTCACAGGAAATAGAAAAGAGGAGATAAACCCCTCCTCCTCTCCTAGCTGCTTCCAGTATTCCTCTGGTAACCCCATTGGTAGAACCTAATAGGAAGCCAATTGGCAAGGACATCTTGGAGATATAGTTTGAGTAATCCCAATGCACCAATAGAGAAGGTAGGCTTGGAGCTGAGAAATAGCTTCTGATTATTCCTTGATTTTCAGTGTGAGGTGACAATTCTGCTTTCACAGCAGGTAATGCAGTTCTTGCATGAATATAAAGTGAAGGCTGTTAAGGAAGCATTATCATACTGACTATCCTGCAAGAGCAAAGTAACACCTCCCTATCTATCGGCAGACCTAGGTCAGGCATGGTGTCTCACCTAGTTTTTCTGCCATGCTGAAACCAGAACATGAGTTTCTTACCTGATCCTCCTCTGGAAGAACTGGCCTAACATTTTCCTGGGCACTTTCCAGAAATATTTTTTGCATATATGGGAATCTTCTTTATTCACACATTTATTCAACATTTATTAAGAACCTACTCTCTGGGGGCACCTGGGCAGCTCAGTCGGTTAAGCATCTGCCTTTGGCTCAGGTCATGATCCCAGGGTCCTGGGATCAAGCCCCGCAATTGGGCTCCCTGCTCAGCAGGGAGTTTGCTTCTCCCTCTTCCTCTGCCCCTCTCCCCGCTCACTCTCTCTCTCTCAAATAATTAAAATCTTAAAAAACCTACTCTCTGTATTTGGCACAGCTCTAAATATTGGAGGCATAAGGATGAACATGACAAAATTCCTGTTCTTTTGGACCTTACATCCTAATTAGTTGAAGTGTGTGCAAGAGGGAAGGGTTGGTGATAAACCTATAGAACAATTTTTTAAAATGAGATGTTTTTAAGTAGTGCTATGTCCTATGAAGAAAATCAACCTGGGTAACTCAACACAAGTGATGGAGTTGGGGCACTGTAGCTATTACAGACTCCATTTCACAAACATGTTAGTAATATCACACAGTTCCCAGCAAAAGAGGCTGATTCCGCCAGTGAGATATGGCTACTAGCAGGTCGAAGTTCTCTCTAAAGAGGAGGGATTTGCAATAAAACCTAAAAGATGTGCAGAAGCCAGCCATGGGAAAGTCGTAAGACATTCAGACAGAAGAGATAGCAAGTACAAAGGCCCTGAGGTTGAAATAAGTCCAGCTTCTCTGAGAGCCTATCTCTCTTATCAGGGGGGAAAAGCCTGAGGGCAGTGAATGAGGAAGAGTGGCAGAATATCCCAGTACCCCCATTACTTCCTTTAGCAAAATATCTTGGAAATCAGTCTGTATCAGAACACCCCTCTTCTTAATGACTGCATGATATCCTATTGTACAGGCATAAGCATTTTACTATTGTCAGATGTTTAGATTGCCTGCATTCTTTTGTTCTTCCAAACAGTATTTGTGCTTTAATAAATATCATTGTACATAAGGTTTTGCAGTTTAGGGTGATTATATCTGTAAGAAAGCCCTAGAGATGTGTGTGCATTATAACTTTTGCTATGTTCACTTTATATTTTGGTAGGTATGTCCAAACAGACTTCTAAAAATTTTATCAATTTCCATTTCCACCAACAATAATGCCTTCACCCTCATCCATCCACTGAACCTTAAAATGTTCGGGTCTTAATCAGTCACATGAAAATGGTATCTCACTATAGTTTTAGTTTGTCTTATTTTCTTTGTTAGCGAGACCTAATTTATTTTCATGTGTTTAAAAGTCACTTGCTTTTCATGTATATGTGAATTCTCAGCTCATGTTTTTAGCCAATTTCCACTGGGTTACTAAGTTTATTTCTGTAATGACTTCACTACTGGTTGTCTCCTCCAGCCAAGCCATAGGGTTAGTGATTATGCCCATGAATGGGAAAGAGCAATGAAGATCCTTATCCTCGCTTACCACTCCCAGCCCAGTACACTATTACCTTTGCTACCAGTCAACAAATTGTTGTGGTAACTTTGGATTCTTCCCTGTACTCTGGGCTAGGAAGGTGAAACAGAATATTTCTAGTGGAGGGGTGGGGGTGGGAGCCAAGATTCTACCTCTCTATTCCCCCACCACCTCCAGGTTCTAAATCTTTGGCACAGAGCTGAGAAACATCCCCCACCTACAAGGTATTCTGAGAAAATCCAAATGTGATCACAGAGACTTCTTCCCAGTTCCATGTATTTCTCTTCCCTGACACAAATGGCAGAAGTTCTTGGTGGTAATTTGTCTCATGCTTGTACTTATGGCTGGATGAACATGTGAGAATGTTTCTATTATGCGCTCAATGTAGTTATAGCCATGAGTAATAGAATACAAATATGTTAATCAGAAGAACCAAGAAGAGTATAATATAGTATAGTACCTGTCTCAAAATCCTTCTGCATCACTCCCCTCTCCCCAGTTGACTTCCCTATTCAAACACACATACACAATTTTGTATACATAATGGAATCTATGTTTGCCATGATTTAAAAACAGTAATCAGAGAGACATTTTTCTCACCAGAAATGATTAAACAAAGATGCGTAATTCTGGAGATCAAATAATCACACATATGGAGTATTTTTCCATAGTGGAGACCCTCCCCCACCCCAGTTGATGTCATTGTAAATAAGCAGGTAGTCTCAGGTTTACCTAAATCCATTCCCATTTTCCCAAACTACAGATCGTATATGCTCTATCATATGAACTTGTGCAGAGAATCTGATAGGGATGAAAAGAACCTTTATAAAAAGGTAAAAAGTCATCTTTAGGGATTTCAAAGGCTTCCTTTAGAAATACTTTAATTTTAGGGCCTCTGCAACAAGATAGTCATGCTCTAAAATTTAGAATTACTAAGTGTTAATTATAATATAATTTACTCTTACAAGTTCTCCATTTTATTTCTTGCCTGTGTCTTACCTTTAATTAATGTTTCTCTTTGAGCTAGGAGAGCAGTAATTTTCTTGGCTGTTTTTTCACTAAGAGATTTGTTATTCTTTCCACATCTTGATCTTTAGCTTCGTAGTCTACTAAGAGAAACCTAAAAAAAAAGTGTTCAGAGTCAAATACAGGGATTCTACATTCTGAAATACTGTTAAAATATTGTCAATCTCAGAACTTCCCTGAGTCAGTGCTGAACAATATTTTCTATTTCCCTCTATGACTAGCATTAATTCATTCATCCATTTGTTCATTTATATATCTATTCATCCAACAAAGTTGTTGGCTTTCTATGAAGGCATTTCATTTATAGGAGAGATGTGGGAATGAATAAGTGTAATATAAGTGGTTTATTCTATTCCAACCTCAAACTGGCCCTGTAAGTTAGTGCTATGGTCTGAATGTTTGTGTCTCCCCGCCCCTCCCACAAATTCATATGTTGAAATCCTAACCACTGAAGATGATAGAATCAGGAAGTCAGGCCTTTGGGAAGTAGTTAGTTCACAAGGATGAAACCTCATGAATAGGACTGGTGACTTATAAAAGGGGCTCCAGAGAGCTCTTTAGCTCCTTCTTCCAGGTGAGAACACAATGAGAAGTCTGTGACATGGAAGAAGGACCTCATCTGACCATACTGGCACCATGATCTTGGACTTCCAGCCTTCAGAACTGTGATAAATAAATTTCTGTTATTTATCAGCCACCCAGTCTGTGGTATTTTGTTGTGGCTTAGTCTTGAATAGACTAAGACAATTAAGTAAGACATATGTTGTTACTCTTACTTGATAGATAAAGAAATGGAGGGTTATATGATGATTAAGTAAATTGTCCAGGGCCCTACAAATAATAAGTGTAGGACCAAAATACAAACCTAATTTTATAATTTCAAATCTGCATCTTTCTCATTGCCATGCCACATGGTGCAAATGTCCTTCCTTCAGAAGTTTCTGGAGGCAGAACTGCTGATATGGCTCCCTTACTGACCCTTGCCTTCTGTGTCATGAATCATGAAATATGTTCAGAAACAAATTCACTAAATAGACTAATATTATATTCCCTTTATCTATTAATAACAGAAAGACAAACTCATACTATACCCCAAAGTTTTCTATAGCTATGCTTCAGCAATAGCAACTTTAAAATCCAATTAAGTCCCATGCATGGAGGAATCAGACTCGTCCCTCAAGGCAAAGTAACACACATCTTCCCAATGATGTTATCTCTACCACACATTTTCCTTTCTTGCAACAACCCAAATTATCATGGCGTTCCATGCAGAGCCAAATTTTAATATACAGCAAGCCAAGTTGTGATAAGCTTGAGAAAGAGATAAAGCTAGGTGTGTATCACTGGCATAACAATACAAGCTGACTACTTAGGAATGATTTACCCAAAGGCAGAACTTAAAACATGGTAGAGAGGCCAGGCCTGGGTAAGGAGAAACACACACAGTTACAGTAATTGTAAACAAATAACATAAGGATTGGAGGGACTTCACACTGTACCTTCTGACTTCTGGGGTGATATAGGATATGATCTAGAACTAGACAAAAAGAGACTTCCACATCCTGGATGTCATTGGTCACATTACTCCAGCTAGACCACTGAGACTCAATTTTGGGACTTTCGTTAGGACCACCGGGGGAAAAAAAAATCCCTCCTTTTTATTCCTCCCTTATTCCTTCTTTCCTCCCTCCCTCCCCCCACTCCCTCCCTGCCTCCCTTCCTTTCTTGATTTGAAGCTGGGAGTATTTAAGGCTCTATAGAGTTTGTAAGGTCCACAGCACTGAAAACACCTAAGAGTTAATCCAATACAGAGAAAATCTGAGTAAAGGAATGGAGGAAAACTGAATCCCAATATTGTGTCAAACCCTGGACCCGGCCATGCCTGAAGTGAGAGCTACATACTACCTAGATAATTAAGTCAATAATTCCTTTTGTTGTTCTCTCTCTCTTGCTCTATTTCTTTTTACAGCACTTTGATGTGTGTTCCTGTCACTTACTTGATAGATAAAGAAGCTACTAAGAGTTCTAATTCAGGAAAACAGCAATCAACTTTTTTTCCAGTGATTTTGTGTATCTTTGTCCAAAAATTATAGGTTATTAGGGACAGTGACCATTTAGCCCCATAAATCCTTAGCTGTGCCGTCCACAAGATTCAACCTTGCCCCTTTCTTTGGTTTTTAGTGAACAACTGAAATATGTTTTGAGGAAACTATAGCCTAGAATGATTTAAAATTTTATTTCTTTTTTTTTTTTAAGATTTTATTTATTTATTTCACAGAGAGAGACACAGCGAGAGAGGGAACACAAGCAGGGGGAGTGGGAGAGGGAGAAGCAGGCTTCCCGCAGAGCAGGGAGCCCGATGCAGGGCTCCATCCCAGGATCCTGGGATCATGACCTGAGCCGAAGGCAGATGCTTAACGACTGAGCCACCCAGGCACCCCTAAAATTTTATTTCTTAATGAAAAGTAAATTCTATTATGAAATCCTGAGACCAGAAACAGTTAAATGCTTGCAAAGTTAATGGCATTTTCGGTTGCTGTAATAAAGTGCAATCCTTTATTTTAAAGATCACAGCCATTTAAAATGATCCAATAAACATGGTGCACTGACTTCATCACAACACTCTAGTCTCTTCCTCATAATCTCTTTCATCCTGCTTGTTTCCCTTGAAAAAACACTTTGGGTTTCAGGGAGATTTCATGAGTAAGTAGTTCTGTTTTGCATGGTTTACTTAATATTTAGAGCTGGAAAGAGAAGCATTGTTCCTAAAAGTAAAGGTCTGAAATCCCCAGGGTAGAAACACTTTCTTTTTTTTTTTTTTTAATGTTTTATTTATTCATGAGAGTCAGAGAGAGAGAGAGAGAGGCAGAGGGAGAAGCAGGCTCCCCACCTAGCAGGGAGCCCGATGCGGGACTCAATCCCAGGACCCCAGGATCACGACCTGAGCCGAAGGCAGACGCTTAACCATCTGAGCCACCCAGGCGCCCCTAGAAACACTTTCTAATTGGCTTTTCTTTTGCTCTTTATTCATTCACTCATTACTTCCTTCAACAGCAAGAACAAGAGAATTTTTCAGGAGCTGCAGACTCAATACACACAGCTTAGCAAGACATGTTCTCACTGTCTATAGGCAGAGAGGGCTGAGCAAGCCAAATATTAGAGGGCTTTTTGTTTTCCTTACTCTAAAAGTCTCAGTGATATTTTTATTGTTTTCATTTGAAAACTCCTAGCCCCCAAATGATAGACTGAATTTTGGGCAAGCAGTTTAAAGCAGAAACTAGTTTGCAAGTTAAAAACAGTTTACCCCTGAACAGTATGAGGGTTAAGGGCACCCATCCCCCACACAGTTGAAAAATCCTCAGAAATTTTGACTCCCCCAAAACTTAACTACTTAATAATCTACTGTTGAGAGGAAGCTTTATCAATAATATAAACAGTTGATTAACACATATTTTTATGTTATATGTATTATATACTGTCTTCTTATAATAAAGTAAGCTAGACAAAAGAAAAAGTTAGATAATCATATTAGAAAAATCATAAGGAAGAGAAAATACATTTACTGTGCTGTACTGTATTTTCCAAAAAAAATCCACATATAAGTGGACCTGCACAGTTCAAACCTGTGCTGTTCAAGGGACAACTGTATATTGATTTATCTGGTTTGGGTGACATATAAACATATATCTAATATTGCCCTGATGGGTAGGCTAAGTTTTAAAATAAAATAAAAAAACACTTTAATATTTTTTTAAAGTAAATGTGTTACCTATGGTAAATGCTAAAAGAGGTAGTAAGAAAACCACTTGTTAGGCACTAATGTGCTAAGTACTTTTATAAGTTTTTTCAATTAATATTCAGAACATTCTGTGAGGTTGGCACAGTTATCCCAAGGAACCATCCTGTTCTCTTGCTGCCCGCAGGCAGGCCCCATCCTCTGAGGCAGTTGTGAGGGCCGGGAGGGCCCTCTAGGAGGCCTGCATGTTCCAGACTCCTACAAGCAGGCACCAGGAAGGTGGGCACCCCCCACTTCCCAAGGTCCAGGACTCCTGATTTCTGGGGTTTCCTCCCGAGCAGCAGTGTGATTAGACTAGGTGGCAAAATGTAGATGTGCAACTACCTGATCTATTACTTACCTCTGCCTCTCACCAAACTCAGCCCTAAGAAGCCTCAGGTCATTAGTACCAGTTGCTCTCCCAGGGCTCAAGAACATGGTAACCTTTCCTGCATCATCATATTTTCCATCTTGACATATATCTTTGTGTATGACCTCATTCCCTTCCAAACTCTCTCCCAGATAATTCTTAGGGCAAAATGAATACAATTATAAGGAATCGTTTTCCTTGTAATGTTATCATGTTAAAGCATAGATCCTATTGTCAGGAGAGCTGATGTAGAGTATAATTATGTACTTTTGACCAAGACCTTTATTTCTATCTGGCCATAGACCCACTTTGCTCCTGAGATTTCCCATTGTGTGGTTAAAAGAATGCTGATCATATCATAGTTCTGCCTCATTCTTTTCTTGTCTTTGTCTCTCTCTGTGTTGATCTATGCAGTTCCTCTCCTTTAGTAGATAAACTGCTATTTCTACTAGTTAGCCCTAGTTATCTTCCTATACTACAGATGACTCCTCTGAGCTCTCTCAATAATTCTCATTTTACAAATGAAGACAATGACATTCAGAGAAGTTAGTTACATTGCAAGTAACACTAGGGCAAAGATTTGAATATAAAACTATTTGATTCCAAAGCCCATATGCTTTACTTCATACTCTATGGCTCCTCTCACGATTGCATCATTTGTGATTGACTTAGAAAATTAAATTGTAAGGGAATGGACTTTTGGATTATTTAACATGAATTATCCCCTATGGCCAATTATCCTGCTTTTGAACATTTTCAACAACATATAAATAAAATGTACATGTTCATACATTATAATATTTTTCATTATTATTATTTCACTTACAGACATCCAAAATTGATTTATTTTCTCCCCAGATTTTTAGTAAGAATCAATCATTTCATATAGTCTTGCAATTTTTAAGAAAATTATGCTGTTTTTACAAAAATCTTGTGGAAGATATTTTCC